CGTCCGCGTAACTGATGCTGTTTACGAAGTTACCATCTATTGAGCATCCGACGCCAGTTCTGCTAAGCTCATCGATCAATCCATTTATATATAGGTTAAAGAGCCTCGGTGAAGTTAAGCCCCCCTGTCTCACTCCACATTCCAACCTATATTCACTTGAGTATGAACATGCCCACCTTACATTATTTGATTGGTTGTGGTACCAATACCTTAATATATCGACTATCTCTCTAGGCGTACTCGTTTCCCTCCGAAGCTTATCCCATAATAGGTTGTACGAGACCAGGTCAAATGCCTTCGACAAGTCCAAAAAACAGGCGTAGACAGGCGTTTTTCTCGTAACATAATACTGTACGGTATGCTTGAGTCGCAAGATTGCAGTTTCAGTGGACAGTTCAGGTATAAACCCAAACTGTGCCTCATGTATATGTTTACTTATTCGACGATCAAGCAAACCATCCAATACTTTGGCTATCACATTAGCTAGCGAGATCGGTCTATAATTGTTCTTGTCGGCATCATCCCCGGTCTTGTTCTTTAGAACTGGTACCACTATGGTCTTCATAAGTTCCTGAGGTAAGTATTCATGCCCTATACATGCACTATAGAGCATAGTCAACACCCTAGGCAGATGAACTCCCGCATACTGCAGGTGCTCAATACTGAGGTCATCATGTCCAGGTGATTTGTGACCACGTGTCATATTATTTGACATTTGCGACTTCTTTCGCAGTAAATCTGACAGATTCACTGCATGATTTCTCCTCAATATCTGCACCGGTCCCAATGGAGATTCCACTTTGAAGTGTTCCCTAAAAACTTCTGCGATATGATGGGGCTCACTCTTACCATCGATACTCGCAGGTAAGCATGATGCAGTTTCCAGCTTCTTTGTTTGTTTCCAAAAACTCTTAAAATCTTTTTCTTTGTGGTGAGTAGCCAAAATATCCATTTTTATTTGGTACTCATTGTCTTGACACCACTTAAGTTTTGACACCTCCTAGCTTCTCGCATTCTGTCATATACATAACCCGCACTGGGCTTACCATACAGTAACCACATTTGGAAACTGCATCGTGCCTCCTGATGACTCTTATGATTTATGGGGAATAACATTTTTTTTCATCATTAGTCAAAATAAGGCATTACCACGCATTTTAAATTTGAAAGATAAAAGGACAGACCGTTTGAGATTTTTTAAATTAATTTTTCTTCACTATTTGGTAATATTACTTATTCTGAACCTTTTCTGCAAGGCGTGAATTTCTAGCGTAATGCGTAATAATTAATTGAGTGAGTTATGTATAAATCAGAAAAAAGTTTCAGTAGGTACTTTTTAGAGTAAAAGATGAACTTTTTATTAAGGGTACTAAGTTGTGTATTCAACCAGATTCTTCTCAGACTGACATATCAACCGTATATCAGTCCGAGAGGAATCTGCGTAATTTAACCGGCTTGAAAAAGAAAGAAGTACTCAATTCGACTGTATGTTTTTATGTGTGTTACATCAGAACTTGTTTGTGAACTGATTTCGATGATTTTTTTTATATGAGAGCTAGTGCTTCTCGTGTGGCTCATATAAATTTGATCAAGTTCTGACCAGTAGTTTTTGAGTATATACTTAATAGTGCGTATTTAATAGACTTCGAATGTATTATGTTCTCATATTATTTATACTAAAGTCGGTTGTACAACATTTTTAATTTTACCACTTGTTCCGTTTTTACAATAGCTGTATAAAAATTAACCGAATGTTCTTAGTGGCGTTTTTGAGATTCGATATGTGTAAATTTTTGTGTAGTCGGTTATTTGTAAATCGTGCCATACTGTTTACTAAAAGTTGGGAGCCCTTACTTATGGTATTGTCGTTATAATTGGTTTTAACTCTTCTGTGTACTGTGTCTTGGCACCGACATCAGAAGATATTATGAGGATTTTTTTTTAATTCTTTCAAATCGGCTTTTAATTTTTAGCTGGTACCTAGCGCGCTGCTGCCCAGAGAAATGTTAGGAATGTGGTTTTAAATTTGGAAGAGTTACATTGTTTTATTAGTAAAGATGAATGAGTTTTTACGTGGTAGAGCCACACTGCAGCTATTATGGTTGTAGTAATGGGTCAGCTCGACCGGGAAAGGACCACGCACTCACGGAATACCAGCGTAAAATAACAGCTTAATGCTGCTGTGTTTCGTATGGTGAGTGTAGATAACTGGAGACCCGTTTTACTGGAATCGAGGCATTCCATCTTAGTCCTCAAGGGTGACGCATCTGCATTTTATTTTTTAAGCGAGTTTAAATGTAGATGTCTATGATCCACAGCGTCCACTTACCATCAGGTGGACTGTGTGCTCGTTTGTCACCCTTATCCTATAAAAATTGATAATACATTCATTGAAATTGAATGATATATAAGTTTCAAATTAATTTGTCGGTAGGTACAATATGCGCGCCATATACTGTAAGTTAATTGTACTATGCCTATAGCCTTCGGCCAAGTGCAGGCAATACGTTGACAAAGTTGTACCGCAACCTGATGAACGGTAGGGCAGCACGTAAAATACGAACAAATAAACAAACATAAATTTTTATATATTAAATTTAATTTTTTAGCTTTCTAATAGCGTCAGCGATAATAGAATATAAACTTGACTAACCCGACAGGTTCTTCATACAACTACAGTCAGCTCCTTTTGACTAAGTTTAAGTTGAGACATGATATTGCTGCTTCTTCTTGGTTCATATTACTAAGTTTTCGATCATAAAGGATCCACCTTTCATCACAATTGGCAATTCAGTTTAAAGTCGCCTGATTTGTGAATGTATGATAACCATTTACGAACTTTATTTTCTTCAATTTAACGTAAAATAGGGAATACCTATAGTTCTCACTTAAATTGAATTCTGTTTCCACTAATTTTTAATTCTTTATCATCACCTTATTTTCCGTTCACGGATTATTATCTTGGTCGACATTTAGAACGTAAATAATCAAACATAATTAAATTAAATTATATAATATAATATAAACAAAATTAAAAAAAATTAAATTGTGTAAAGTAAATTGAGGCAGGTAAGTACCTGGTTTTTACACGTCCATCTTTATAACTTTGTAGTGGCTACGAACCTCATAGGCGAAAATAGGGGCATGTTTTAATATTTTAAAAATTGATTTTTCTGTAACCACACCTAAGAAAAAAACAAAAGCGCGGGGTAACAAATTGTTACCATTTTTTTTTTAATTTCATAGCTTTAAGAAATTTATTTTTAAAATGGCCAGTATTCAATAACGGCAATTTCATAAATTTATATTAAATATAGTACCATTACAAAAACGAGTAAAATAAAAGTAAAATTTGTAAGATTCTTGGTGCCTTGATTAATAAAGTATTGATCGTTTTATTTTTGTTGTTTTATTTATACTCTTCTTTTGGATATAATACAGCGGATGGCATCAAATTTTGATGGATTTGTGATATTTATTTAAATATACTATATAGGTGATCTCTGCGTGATTGAGATCATCGTGTCTCCTGTCCAGCGTGTAGAGCACGTCATGTCAAAGAGGCTCTTTTTCGTTCTTTTACGTTGATCAGTTGACATATAAGCTCTATTGTATAAATATGTTTTCGAGAATCTCAGATGAAGTAAAAAAAGGTAGATATCGCACCTAGAACAAGAAATTGTAACCAATTTTATAACTTTGTGTGAGTCAGAGAAGTGTTGCCACTTTTTTTTAAAGTCCCTGAAAATCGAGATACAATACTACAACTATAAGAGTAATGCGATGCGAATTCGAAAGTATATCTGTCCGTTGTAATAAATAATAACAATTTAACAATTCAAAAAAAGATGTAGCACGTAGGAGGCGTCTGTAGATCATTTAAAAGTCTTCTTGATAGATTGACCAGTGAGCATATAAGCATCTATAAAATATACAACATATGTAATGTAAAACATGTTGATTATAAAAAATAACTTAATGCTAATAAAACTAGTTGGAATAAAAAATAAATTGCCATGGAATTAAAAATATACTCTTTTAAATAAAAAAAGTATATTTTAGTAAATGCAAAATAGAACAAACTCCAGCCGGGGGCACAAAGGAGTGTTCTAATTTGTACCCCGGGTGTGAGAGATATGAAGTATCAGCCGGAGAGGACACCTGAGTCTCGGTTCAAAAGAGTAAGGCCGGATTCACCATCTCCGGGTGGTAGTTGACAGCATTAAGATTGGAAAGAAGTATCCTGATGTTGCAAAAATTCACGGACAGCGTGACAGGGGTTGCCTTGGTCTTATTGCTCCGCTTTCATCTAGCAGTTTTAGTCGTAAGCAGAATTAAGCTGGTATTTTACGCTGGTATTCTGTGAGAGCTACTAATAGTATAACTGCAGTATAACTCTTCGTTTTCGTTGGTATCCTAAAATCACAAATATTTTTTGATAGTAAAATAGTTCGTAAGTACTCAACAATTATAACAAAAGCATCAGCGACTTAAAAAATTAAATTTTTACCTTGATTTCAATGTAATGTATCATAATAACAACTAATTAAAAAAAAAATATATTGACTGCAAATATTTTTATAACTTAGCCTAAAATTAATTACCCAAATCTTGGACTATTAGAAATAAGAAATACTGGCAACATTCTCCCGTTACGTAATCTCGAAACATTGACATTCGTGCTTCGAATAACCTTCAAAATTGTGTTGGAATAACAAGTTAAAATATAGTTAAATGAGTGTTTACGAGTGAATCGATATTGCTTCAGACTTTTTATTCACGTTAGCATTGTTTTTGCACCATTTAATTACACAGGACGGCATTTTGTAGGCAAATTTACTGCACGACGCCCCGAGAATTACTGAGCGAAAATGAGCGTAGTTTGATGCATGTGTGTGCGTGAACGCGTGTGCTTACATAAAGGTGTGGAGCTTTTTGGCTTCACCAATAACAAAGGCCCCGCTGTATCTACCTTTTTTATTTCATCTGTGTCGAGAATAATGATAACGATGCAAAGAAGCACGAGACTTCTCGATCCTAGTGGTGAATCTGGTGTATAGTTCCTTTGGCAATCAAGTTCTGGCCGCGAAGGGTAGAGAGAGCGCACCGGGACACCCCAGGCCGTACTTTATTAAAGTTTTTGTTGATGGTATGAAGGATTAAACGATTCCAGTAAGCACTCCGGTACTGCCGTCAATACGAAATGCCACGCCATGTTCACATCAATATGATAGTCACTGTGTAGTATATTGCATGTTTTGTATAAGTAGTTTTTTTTTTATAAGATAAATATTATAAAACGTACTCAACCCAATACAATTTATTCATCTCTTCACAACGTACTTTCTAGTTAACAATAACAATGTAGTAAGGACTTAACGTCGTGTGAGACTGGTGTCTACGATTTTTGTTTTGTGCGAGCAGCTATGCAGGTCTAGGGAAGGAGACTAGTATCAATGCGACCTAAAAGATCTATTGTGATCGCTACTATGGCTACAGTTCACTGCTAAACCCTACATCTTCAATAAATAGAAGGAGTTGCTTAGCCGTGAGCAATTTCAGTTCTTCTGGGCGGAGTACATAGTTACCCAGATGAGTGCTACTTTTGTGCATTAAGGGTCCGCAATCAGGATGTGCAGAGGCGATTGTTCCGTTATTGTACAGAACCAACACATTTTTGAGTTGCTTAGTCCCAGGATGGACATGTGCTTTTTAAGACAACAGTGGCCAGTTAGGGCTCTTGCCAGAATGTGCAATCTATTTTTACTTATTCCCAGGGCTTCTGAAGCGAATTTATGATCAAAAGCCCGGATTAACATTTTAGAATGTTTTAAGCCTGGTGTGACAGACCAGATCTTAAGTGAGAATCTTCCTGAGATTCCACAAAATGGCTCAGGTCCAAATTGTGTACTTGAAGCCTCCCGTGCAAGTTTGTTGGCAAATTCGTTGCCTACAATACCCGCTTGACCGAGAATCTTAAGACGACCCTGCCCTTCTTAAGACGACCCTGTTGTTATATCCCAGGGCGATTAAACGATTCACGCAGTCTCCAACAAGCTTCGAGTTCACTAATTTTGACCTCAGCGCTAGCAGTGCTGTTGACTATCAGAGTTTATATAAATTATATGGTTGACGTAGTATTTTTGCAGATTGATTTCCGCATACTGAAGTATGGCGAAAATTTCTGCTTGGAAAATAGAAGTGAATCTACCTAAATTCACAGTAAGATGGAATTTGGGGCATTCCCCGTAAATTTCAAAGCCTACGTTGAGGCCCATTTTAGACCCATCGGTATACCATATGAGGCTACCGACCTCACACATAACCTGGCTATTCAGTCAGTTTTCTCTGGAGGGTAGTTCCACTATATACTTTTTATTAAAAGTGTATAGTGGCCGCATGATATCTGAGATCATGCGTAAGACCGGTGATTCCTTAATTGAGTTCGCTCGCGACTGACCGCTCCGCCAGGCACGCACACTGTCACACTGTGTATGTACATGTCGAACCACACCCAAAGGTCGACCGCATTCGTGAATTGCAAAAACTATATCAAATGTTAGCTGACAGAGAATGTCTTTTGGGCATTAAGTTCGCCTTTGTACTAATCAGTCGAGCAAGTAGATGAGTGAGTGTGTGAGTGAGTGATATTTGGGATGCGTATTTAGCAGAGATGGGAGATATGATAATGATATAGAACGACGAGTGAACGCAAGAAATAGAGTAATTAGGGCTCTACACTCTATTGTGGAAAATCACAATGTGTCAAAAAAGACATGTATGGCAATTCACAGTGCTGTGTTAGTCCCTACTTTAACGTATGGTCCTGAAAGTTGGGTATAGCAGAAGAAGCACGAGAGTAAAATAAACGCAGTAGAAATGCGGTCGTTACGGAATATGTTAGGGCTGAATCTGAGTGACGTGGTGAGAAACTGTGTAATATTTTTTTTATATAGAAGAGGGGGCAAACGAGCATACGGCTCACCTGATGTTAAGTGACTACCGCTGCCCATGAACAACCACCACAAGAAGAATTGCAGGTGCGTTGCCGGCCCTTTAGAAACGAGTAAACTCTTTTCTTGAAGGTCCCAGGTCATATCGGTCCGGAAAAATCGCCGGTGGTAAGTTATTCCACAAAGAGGTGATGGACCGCCAAGCATCCAGATGGTGTGCATGGTATCGGGAGATTTGCTACGTAGTGCGGTCATGAAATTTGGCGGCTGGGATTAATCCGAACAATTCCTCAGAGCACTCTCCGTAATAAATGCGATAAAATACGCAAAAAGATGCAACATCTCTTCGCAGCGCCAGTGCATTGAGCCGATCGGAAAGCACTCGGTTGTCGAAGATTCGAGCCGATCGGAAAGCACTCGGTTGTCGAAGATTCGAGCCGATCGGAAAGCACTCGTCTGTCGAAGATTCGAGCCGCTCTGCGCTGGATGCGGTCAAGTGGAAGGAGCTGGTACTGGGTAGCCGTAGCCCAGAGATGAGAACAGTATTCCATGTGCGGCCGAACTTGCGCCTTGTAAAGCTGCAGGCAATATGTCGGCATGAAATACTGTCCCGCTCTGCTGAGCACGCCAAGCTTTTTAGAGGCCAATTTGGCCTTCTCTTCCAAATGACCACGAAACTGCACATCACTCGATACGTCGACACCGAGTATTCCGATACTGGCTAGGCAACAAGGGGAGCGCTTTGAAACTGAGGAGATACGACAAAGGGGTTCTTTTTAGCTTTTAACCCGCAAACTTGTGTCTTCTGAGGGTTAAACTGGAGTAGATTTAGTCGCCCCCAATCCGAGACTTTGTTCAGCAAAGACTCGACTTCAGACACAAGTTTGTCCCGGTACTAGTAATAAGAGAAGAATGTGGTTTGCAAGATGATATTGTGACGAGGATTAAAAAAGGCATGCTTCGGTGGTTTGGTCATGTAGAAAGAATGAATAAGGAAAGAGTGACAAAGCAAATTTATAGGGATAATAATAAAAATAAATTAAAGATATTAAACGCGATAAAATCCGTAAATAATAGTTTTATTCAATGTGTAGTGTTCGCGTAAATTTAAGAAATCATTATGTGAACCAGTACGGACTGGTAATAGCAAATAAAATTCGCCGATTAGAAGATCTTAAAACCAAGCGCGCAAGATATATAACATCTTTAAATTTCTTGAAGAGATGCAGAGACCATAATCTCATTCCTACGTGTGTCAAAATATCAACAAAGAAGGACATTCGAGGAAGCGCTAAGATCTTAAATCAGGCAAGTAAAAAGTTGTTACGGACGGTGATTCAGCAGAAACGGTTCGATTTACATTTCATAAACAACACCATAGACAATTTGTCCAGTGAACTAAAGACAATTTTAACGACATTTGATTTTAATAATTGCATCGAAACTTTAAACAAACGAGAAACATCAAAATACAATGAATGCAAAAATAAACAAATAGAAAAATACCAAAAATTAACGATCAAATCAAATGCCAAACATCCAAGTCAACGCCAGAACAATAAACAACCGTTGACCATAGACACAAACTATAAACAACGCACTGTCTGTAATTTGTCAAAACATACACTGGACGAACCGACAATGAAAGTATTAGCGAAGGGAATGAACTTCGCATTAACTCCGCGAAAAATCCCGTACGAAGAAATTATCTGCAGTGTTGAGGATTGTCTGTTTAAGAATAATATCGGTAAGGAAGATTTGGAGGCCATACGTCAAGATATTTCGTCCTTGTTACGTCGCAGTTCAGTGCCGAAACCAAACCTTCCCAAAGACGAATTTACAGCGCTAAATAACTTACGGAACAGACCAGAACTCACGATTCTCCGCGCGGATAAAGGAAATGCTACGGTAGTAATGGACACGTCGGAATATAATTTTAAAATACAACAACTTTTATCGGACGAAAGTACATATAAAAAAGGTCAAAACAGACCCTACAACTAACACGCTTAAAACAACTAGCGATTTAATAAAGAAATACTCCGAAAAATTAAATCTCGACGTGAATTCGCTAATACCATCATGTGCCAAACCACCGAGGTTGTATGGGTTACCGAAGATACACAAACCAAACGCTCCACTACGTCCCATAGTGAGCCAGATCGATTCACCAACTTATAAGCTGGCACAATACTTAGCAAAAATACTATCACCACTGAGAGGACATACCAGAGCACACACAAAGGATTCATACCATTTTGTGAGTGAGATAAAAGACCTACATCTCGCTAACAATGAAACTATGGTCAGTTTTGATGTTCAGTCACTATTTACATGCCTACCTATTGTGGACTGCATCTCAATTGTAACTAGGAAGCTAGAAGAAAATAACATGCCTCAAGAATATGCAATACTACTTGAACATTGCCTCACATCTGGCTATCTATTGTGGAAGGAGGAGTTCTACAAGCAAGTAGATGGTGTGGCGATGGGCTCACCTGTGTCTCCCATAGTCGCCGACATATTCATGGAGGACTTTGAGGAGAAAGCCCTTCTTACTGCTCCTGTAAATCCAAGGTTCTACAAGCGGTACGTAGACGACACTTTCACAATTTTACCATCTGACAAAGTAACTGCATTTTTAGACCACCTTAACTCCATAAACTCTAAAATACAATTCACAATGGAGTTAGAGGCAAATAATTCTTTAGCTTTCCTAGATGTTTTAGTCATCCGAAATCCTGATAACACTATTGGTCACACTGTGTATAGGAAAAAGACCCATACCAACCGATATCTAAATGGTGAATCTCACCATCATCCTTCACAGTTAGCTACCGTGGGTAAATCTTTGTTTCAGAGAGCACGAGGAATCTGTGACAGAAAACATCTGGCCGCGGAGCTTCAGCACGTCAAGCAAGTATTGCAAGACAACAAGCTTCGGGTCCCGCGCCTACGTCACAGTGAACGAGTGAAGCCGGCAACAGTCGAGCGCGCACCTGCTCTACTACCATATGTTGGAGGAGTCACGGACAAGATTGGCTACATCTTGAAGCGAGCGTCCATTAAGACATACTACAAGCCGCTGAA